AAATCTGGACAACATCCGAATTTGTTCCACTCATTTCTTTCCTATAGTTAAGCATACTTAATAAAATATACTCGAAGTATGCTACTTTTTGGTAAGGGATGATATCATACAGTTAAGGTTTGGCTGATTAAAGATGTTATTGCGTTACTTACTTTGGCATTCACAACACATCTGTCGCTGATTACTTGATACTGCATCTCCCTCACCCATCCACACACCATCTGGTTATAGGCCTCCAAACTTTTATAAGATTTAAGGTCTGCTGTCTTCTGGGCAAGAAAACCAGGTAGTTGATATCAAGATACGCAATAGACGGAAGACTCTCCGGCTCGTCATTGATCCAAGATGAAGGAGCCAACTCGTTTGGATCTGCCCCACCAATAAAACTTAACTTTTCCAAATATCGTGCCCTTACCTGTGGACCAAGTCCTTCCCTGTATGCCTTTGCATCTATAACGCATTTTGAGGAGCTTTTCTGTGCTTTCGGACATTGATCCATTGCAGTGTTTACCTCCGAGTGCCTCCAATATGGCCGCACATGCAGGTTACCACCCAGAACGTGACGTAGGTGAAAACCCTCTATATGCTCCGTAATATAGCAAAGCACATATTTACAGGACAAACTTTGTTACACACTTTTTTCCCTCATCAACCAGGTGCTAAGGAACTACTTTCAACTCAGGATTGCTCCTTAACAGCCATTTTCCCCCCATTCCCGTTCATTAACCATTGAGCACACCTTCTCTTTGTGCATTAAAATTCACGCTTCTACTGTACGGTTTACGCCACTTGATTTACGGCACCTTGTCTCTCTGTAACTTTCAAAATAAAAGCATGAGCTGGGTCCAAGCTCCAACAAAATAATAGCCACTCACAAATTTACAAAACACTTTACAAAATATGAATGAGGTCATTTACAATGTGTGCTCACAACATAGATACAGGGTGGGCCATTTATATACACTGTAATAAAATCGGAATGGTTGGTGATATTAAAGTCCTGTTTGTGGCACATTAGTTTATGTGAGGGGGCAAACTCCTCAAGATGGGTGGTGACCATGGTGGCTATTTAGAAGTCGGCCATCTTGGATACAACTTTTGTTTTTTCAATAGGAAGAGGGCCATGTGACACATC